TTGCTATTGCTATTGCTATTGCTACTAATGCTTTCACTGTTCAATCAAGAAACCATGTGCCCTTTTTATAGTATGACATCTAGTATTTTCAGAGTTATATTTAATTTTGGAACAATTTGAAGCCTTCAGTAAATACCTGATTTACTTAGTGCATTCAGTATTCATGGTCTTCTTTCTAAGATTAAGCTTCCAGTTTATTTTGTAGCTTCAGTTATTTTATGATGAAATTCAGTGAGACTACAATTATTCTTTGTGGCTTATATTTATGATAATCTGACAGGTGAAATGTCAGGCAAAATCATATCAAACTAGAATGTCCCCAAAGGGGAAAATGTGTTTTAGTGATTTTGCATATTGAAATAGAAAACTTCCTATTCAGGTATGTGAAATAATAAATTGCTTGTTGATAAAATGGTGATCTGAGAATGCTGTGCAATTCGTGTCTTTTTATTGTTCGTGCAGAAGAGATTGGTAACTGTAGTTGCTTTCTGAGTTTTCAGTAAAATTCCTAGGTGAAGTATTTTTTTTTTTCAAGGTTCAGATGAATAACTTTGGACTAGAAAGCTATTTTGGGAATATTGTATTTTAGGTTACGCTTACAGTAGGCAAACTATATTCAGAGAATAAGACGGGATGTACATATGATATTAGATGAATTATTTTTCTTTTGTTTCATTGTTTCTTTTTGTTTTCCCATCAATCCTCAACCAGACATTTATGCAACCACATCTTTCCAAATGTTTGCTGGCAAGGAACATCACAAATGCAATTCCCATGTAATCCACTCTTTCAATGTGCCTGTTTTCACGTTGTGTGGTAATTATTGGAATAATTTTTAATAATTTTTAATGCAGAGGCTTATTTTATTAAGCAAAAATATTCGTGCATATGACCTGTCAATAAATAATTAATAATTAACTAATAGTAGGTGTCAATTAGTTACATTTATTTGCTTGGGATGACTTCTCCTTGCTCCAGTGTAAGAAATAATCAGAATAAATAAGAAGGAAAATATACGTTAT